TAATTGGGTTTGTGGTAGCATGTTAAAGGTTGGTCTGATTTTTTGTAACCCAGCAGTAGTCTCAGGTGGCCAGGCTGCTCTAAAAAGGCTTTTCGCCTTGCAGTCTCTTCCTACCTACCATGCCTTGCAATTGTTTCCCTTTTCCTTTTTAAGACGAAACCAAGTTAAAACTGTGGAATATCACCAACAAGAATGTGCTGCACCTTCCCACCATCTTCCATCATTTGCCACATTTGCTGTCAAAGGAGAACAGTCTGCAGCCAGCCGTGCATGTGGGACAGGGGCGCACTGGAGGTAAATGGGAATTAGTGCTGCTTCTGGTGCTCTTCCTCACCTTGGTGCCTGTCCCTCCTCTTTCCTCCGCGCCTGGCTGTGGCACGGATATGAGCAGGACTGGAGGAACAGCTGCATGCGTCATGCAAGCTTCCTTGGTATCGTGACACGCGGGGTGGGTAAGCTATGTCACATATGCAAGTCTATGGGGGAGTGCTGTCTGTGCTCTTGACTGGCACTAAAATGTTCTCGACGCTTCTGCCAGATGTTTTTTGCTGCTTTCCATCTCCAGAGTGCTCTAGACTTTGCCTGGAAGTTGGTCAGATGAAAGCATAGTTTGCAGGGCACTTCATGGAGACACTAACCCATCTTAGGAGACAAATCCCATTGGAAATAGGACTTCGGTCACTAGATGATTCCCTTCTGCTCTCAAATCCCAACCCAAAGCCAAAGACCTGGCTTGCCCCTCCTAAACTGAGGTACTTCTGGCCATGGGAGGGTTTTGGAGAACAAGAGTGGTCTTGAAGTTGCCATTCACAGGCTGAAAAGGCCCTGAGGAGGAGGAGGGGTTTTGGGTGTTTCCTTAGACATCAGTCTTTCAGGGAGAAAAGAAAGCGTCTAGCTGACTGCCATGGGTGCCCTGCCAGCCTGGCGCACTGGGGTCGCTCCTGGTTGGTACTGGGCTGGAGGACAGGAGTACGGGAACCCTATGTAGCCCAGGAACCAGCCAACCTGCTGATCACTGCTCGTTTTTAATGACGGAGCATGGCACTGAGCAGGTAAACCATGAGGCGGTCATGGGAGTGGAGCGAAGTGTCTTGTCCCAGCACACACCCCTCTCTAAAATCTCTCTGTGGCCCTGGGCAGTGTCTGTCGTGATGGGAATCCCCAGCGTGAAGCGAGAGGTGCATTCCTACCTCACCGACACCCTCAACTCCCTCATCTCAGAGCTCACTCAGCAGGAGAAGGAGGACTCCGTCATCGTCGTCCTCATCGCTGAGGTAAGACAGAGCTTTGCCGGTTCACCCCATTTCCGTGGCCCCCATCCCATCCCACTGTCTGCCAAGCTCGGTGCCAAACAGGACAGCTGCCCACCTGAAGGCCAACTCTGCCGCTTGCCGGCGCAGATAAGCCCAGCCTTGGGCTGCCGTCCAGCCAGGATCATTAAGTGTGTCCTGCCCAAAATGAAACACCGTTTGGGCCAGAGAAGGTCAGGATACGAGCAAGCAAACATGTCGTGTTAGCAGCTGCCAGTGCGGCCCGTGCGTTTATCTTTCTGATCTAAATTGTGTTGGCTCTTGCAGGATGCTTGAGTGGTTATTCCCAAAATGTGATGGAGCAGCCCCATGGCCGTGTCTAGGAAGCTCTCAGACCTGCTCCTGAAGCAGCTTTGTTTCTCCACGTACCTGTAAGACAGCACTAACCCCTTGTCGAAACCCAAGAGCCCGTTGATTTGGGGCTGAGACTAATATACCTCTTCATACTGGTGTCTGAAGCCCAGAATCAGTTGCTGAATCCAAGGGCTAAAAAGCCTTGATACATTAATCCGCAAGAGCCGCTTTTATCTATGCGGTTAGATGGTTATTTTTCTCCATGGCTTTCCCCTCAGGATTATTTTCTTGAGCCTGAAGTGCATTTGTCTTAATTTCCAGAAATCTGGTGAGAAAGATAAACCTCAGTAGCATGTTACTGGGAGCGGAACAATGATAAATGTCCGGGTTTGCTGCCTGTTTACCCATAATTTGATGTTTTAAGTAGCATTTGGCCTTCAGGTCTCTGGCTGGTATTTTGTACAAGGAGAAGGTGTGCACAGATGGGTGCAGCCCAAGGTGCCCAGGATGAGGTTTGATCCTGGCTGTCATTTCCCCTTGAGCTAGGACAGGTCTGATGGCTGTTTTCACAGCGACTGAAGTTAAAGCATGAGAGGTATTAAGCAACTTGCCCCAAAACATCTCCTGTTTTGGACTGCAGTAATATTTTTTTTAGTTGACTTGAAAATAGGGTGCATACTTTGATGGCAGCTCCTGACTTTCCATGCATACCTGTGACGAAGGAAGTGAACAATGGATAAAATAATTCTGATACCGTGAAGTGCAGGAGCACACGTGCCATAACCCCGTAGCAGCGATGGTAGTTGTTGCAGATCACCACCACCATCGCTGTCCTCTCTTGCCACGCTTGTTCTTGTAGCTACACAACGTCCTCCTTCCATGCAAGTGTCAACCACTGCCGTGCCTGCTCTACCTCTTCCCAAAGCCTTTCTCGATGTACCTGTGCTTGGTGGTGCTTGTAAGGCTCCCCGGGCACGGGATAGAAAGCAGATAGCGGAGAGGGTGGTATGAACCTCGAGTGGGTGCTGGCTAATTTGGAGACTCAGGACAATGAGTGGAGCAACGGAATGTCCTTTCTGGGATGAGGACTTCTCATTTCTGAGTGCCACCGCTAACCACCATGGGTGTTATCCACGGAGGCTGGGCTGCCTGGGAGAGCCGGGGGCTCCTCAGCTGGCGGAGGGGAGCCCAGGAGTGAGCTGGCCGGCTCGGCTGTCACCAATTCACTGTTTTGGTGGCAGCCGCACGCTTGGAGCGGAGCTGTGTGTTTGCTTCTAAAGCCAGGAGCATCTTTCCTGCCTTTGTTTTTCCCATTGCTGTTTTCTTGGCAGCGCTGGGGTAAGAAATCAGTCCAGCACTGAGCGCCTGAGCCCCATTTGGGAAAGGGACCTTTCTCCTCTCAAGAAAACCCTCCCTTGTCACCATTCCAGTGTGGAAGTGCTGTCCTCAGCTTGTGACACACATCCCCGGCATCTCAGTTCTCACCTCCACCCGGCGCCGAGCGCAGCGGCAGCCAGTCCCGGCTTCTGCGATGCTGTATCTGCAGATCCACCCGAGACACCTGGTCCCGTGATCCATATGACCATCCAAAACAATACCGCCACCAGGAAACAGGAATAGTTTTTGCTCCTGGGTCTCCTGCCCTTTGTTCTTGGATATTTTGTTTTCCCGGTTACTGTGCAGATGGTTTCTGTCCGGTGCCTGTCCCTATGTTTGCACTTATCTGGCCTGCAGATAGCGTCGTGCAGGGCTGCTGACCTTCGCCTCCCAACTGTTAACGGGTTGCCAGGTTGACTGTGGGAACAAACTGGATTTTTTAAGAAGAAAAGCGTCAAAATGAACCTGAAATGAAAAATGCATGCTTATAAATAGACCCGTCTTTTTTCACAAAAGGGGTGGGGATCCTTTTCTGCCAAGAGCATGCACTTGGATGAAAGCCAGTGTATATAGAGGAAAAAAAATAAATAACCCAGAAGTTAACAGTTTGTGCAAGCGCTTAGCGCTGGCAGGGGCAGAAGTGCCAGGAGAGCACACGGAGAAGATGTGCAGGGTCTGGAGTCCTTTGGGGTGGATTTTGGTGTGTGATGCCTTTGGTTAACACTGGCCACAAAGGAGGGCTCTTAGGGGTCCATCAGCATGGGGAGAGTGGTTAAACTGGATAAAAGGAGACATGAAGATGAGTGAAGACGGTACAGAGGTGCTGACAGTATCCCTGGGGTGTGTTGAAGGTGATTTCTGAGTCACGGGGGGCACAGGCTGAGGCTGAAGGATCTAACGCTGTTTATCTTTTGTTTTCAGACGGATCCGCAGTACACAGCTGGAGTGGCAGAAAATATCAAAAACTTGTAAGCACTTCCAAATGACTATGGCGGTACGGCCCCTGCCTGTAGCGAGGCCAGGGAACAGCTTCATTAAGGAGAAAATACGTTTTTCTCCTTCCCTTTTGTAATTTTTGTTGTTGTTGTTTGGGTTTTTTTCTGTTCTTGAACTCTGGGCTGTCTTTGCTATCGCCGCTTCCACTTTCTGCTTGTTCTAAAACACATCCCATATGTAGCTTCCAGTAGGCTGCTTTGTGCTCGCAGTATTTAATGCACGGGGTCATGCTGTTTCATTTTGCTCTTTCTGTCCCGTGGTGTCGCGCGGAGATGGATTATTTAGATTTCCAGCAATCCTGGGAATTGTTTCTGTGTCTAGTGCAGCCCTCTACCTGCTCTGCGGAGTCAGAGCAACTGGGCAGTGTGGTAAGCACACCCAAATGCTCCTGCCTTATTTTGCTTTAAAATCCATGATCCATTTTTCTTCCCGCTCCAGCCTGTTTGTTTTTCCCTTGTTCTAGGTGCTAGTTACATTTGTCTCTCACGCTAGCTGCTGTTTAGGTCCTGGAGTCTTAGTGGCTTTTGCAGCTTCATCTGTGGCTGTTTAAGCAGAAGCCGGTGACGGATTATTAATCGTGAGCCGGTCCAGGCGTTAACAGCATCAGAGCTCGGAGGCAAAAGAAAAAGGTGATGAGAGAAGAGGCTGTGACTCCCGTCCAGCCGCTGCGACTGCCTGTTTTCCAAAGGATCGCAGTCGCCGTAAGAAGGAGATGCAAAAGGGCAGCACATCCTCCCGGCGCCAGTGATGGGAGAGGGGCTGGGACGTGCGTGGGGAGGGTTGTGTTCCCGGGCACTTGCAGAAGAGCTGAAACAGAGCCCTCCATCTTGCTGTGCAGGAGCTGGCGGAGCTCCCCTCCTTCTGCCTGCTGGCAGGAGGACGCACTTATCGGGGGATAATGGACTGATTGTCCAATGGATCCTGATGAAATTACTGGGCGCCGCTGCAGAGAGTGCCTCTGTGTAGGCGGCTTGAAACTTTAATTGACTTAATGATTTGATTTCTCGCCATCCCCCTCTCCGGTGCCTCCCGCCCCTCCCTGATTCACTGAAATTATTTTTCTTCTAAATTGAATTGAGGTGGTGTGGGGCCAGGGCAGGCTGAGCTCATGTTGCAGGAGGGAGGAAGCCGTTGCTGCTTCGGTAACAGGATTTGTCAGCTGAATGAGAAGCTTCTGTTTCACTGCTGCCTGACGAAGGGAAGATTTGAAAATGTTAGCTGAAAATCTTGCCAGTCCCAAGGAGGGAATAAGAAAGGGAAAAATAAGTGAGAAGTTTTTGGCAGTCTCGCTGCTTTGTCTCCCTCTGCCCCATCTCCCGTCCTCCAGGCTCTGCACAAACAAAGGAAATCAGCCTTGCACTGAATGTTCTCAAAAAGATAGTATAAAAATAACTGGGTTTCCCGCTTATCTTTCGCAGTTACAGTAATCTCTGGGTATTGCTTGCAAGGCTGTTGTAGGTACCTCTTTTTCAGATGGTTGACATTTTTTTCTGTTTGAGTTTGACTCTTTAAAGGATTCTTAACCACATTATAGGGAAAATAGATACTGATTTTATCAGCATAAAGGAACTAGGCAGAATTCC